AAGACCAGAGAACTCTGTGTTTAGTTGATGATGCTTGGTACTCAAATACAGTTAAACTGCTTTTTATAAAATCTTGATCTTTTTATGTGAATCTCATTGCTGCTGTTTACATTCCCCCAGACCCACATTCAAAAAATGCACTGCAGAACTACTTTACTGGGTTTATTTTATTTTATTTTATGTTAGTCTGCCATGAATTTTATTATGTTTTTCTATGTGTAGCATGAAGGAACTGCCGACTTTCATTTTGTTGGACAACCTTGTGTTGTATAATGATAAACACATTTCCTTAATCCTACTTGTGAGGCCTGTTAAGAAAAAAGTTTGTGTATATTTAGCATGTACGTTTCTGTGAGGTTTTGGGGTATACTGGTGTATACAGGTGAACAAGGGCATGCTGGTATTTTGTGTTTCCGTGATTGTGTGTGTGTGTGTGCTTGCATGTACTCTGTTATATGTAACAGAGACACCTGTCATAATGTGTACTCAGGTTTGTCTGTTGATGGCTCCAAAGTGGTTGTCAGTGTGAAGTAGCACAAGTCCTGTGGGAAAATCTGAAGGAACTAATGCTGAGCATGAGCACTGTCACTTAGATGTGGTACATTTGGACCAAACACCTTGACCAAGCATGTGTTGACAACCTGACCCTCGCTATCGCAACAGGTTCACATAAACATACTGTATATTATACACAACGATCAGCTATAAAATTATGACCACCTGGGCACCCTGATGGTCATAATGTCATGCAGCCCCATACCAACAAACTGTGATGCACTAAATCCTCACGTTGCCCATTTTTCCTGCTTCTAACACATCAACTTGAGCACAAAATGTTCACTTGCTCCCTAATATATCCCATCCACTGACAGGTGCCATGATAACCAGATAATCTGTGTTATTCACGTCATCTGTCAGTGGTCATAATGTTATGGCTGATCGGTGTATGCAACACCAATAGTTGTCTGTTGTTCTTTGTTGCCTTATATGTATCTCTTCCAGACATTATTATTATCTATTACTAATCCACCTAACACCATTACTTCTGTCTGGCAACTGTGGGGCTTGTATTGGGCCATTTATTGGAGTACTGGATCCATCTTAAGACAGTGAAATGCAGCAAAGTTCAGAGTAATGCACACAATTTCTTTATATGAAGATATACCAGCATATAATGCATCATCAGTCACCATTTAATGTCTCTGGCCATTGCACACAGGTCTTTTGTATTGTATAAAATGTATATGAAATCCTGTGCTGATGAGGCAGAAATAATAACAGTTAAGCTGCTTCTCCACTGTCAAATGAGTGTGTGTTAGGGTCCCATGGACCTGTCCTCTGTGTACAGGACTGGTTCTGTGTGTAAGAAAGCACAGTTTGATGTTATTTAAGTTAGATCGGTAAAAGAGGAAGGGAAGTAGGACACATGGGAAAAAGCAGAGTTGAGAGTGAAAGAAGAGAAAAAACAAAATTGAAGATGCAAGGAGAGAAAACATATTGAGATGAGGCATTAGGTGGAGAAAAGGAAAATGAAAAGGTCAAGAAAAAGGAGAGGAAGGTTAAAAGTGTTACGAAGAAAGAAAGGAAGGTATGAGAGATCAGGAGAGACACAGAGAAGGTTAAAGGGGGGTAATGTAATGTCAGGTATCTGTCATGACTTCACTCATCTCTCTGCAGTGACAAGGTCATGAATGTAAATGACAGATGCCTGCTTGATGTACTGAATGCAAGCAAGTAATGTAAAGAACATCTTTGTCTTAGCTGTGTACTGTTACCACAGTTATTATATGTTTATTTCCATCTAGACTTGTTCTTAAATCATTAACCAAGGTACAACTATTAATTTGTGCACTATTGGACCATTTTAAGGAAAAGAATTGCCCAGTTTATCTTCTAAAACACTTGTATCCTAGACTGAAATAGAAATGGCAAACCTGCGATACCTTGTGAGCCACATCTTCAAAGATTATGTTTGGGGCACCCTGATACCTCACCTAGTACAGCTGGCCCCCCAGTTATCAAGGCTGAGTCTTTTCTGCAGTGGCCATGGGTTCGAGTCTGATCTTTGAGCTGAAAATATATAATAACTAAATAAAAGATGCATGGCAAAAGTATGGATGGAGGAAATGGATCAGTCTCAAGCCCCTTTGGACTGGATTTACTTCTCCCAGGGAGGTGAGGTGATTTTAACATCACCTACGCTGGTCATTTTGGGTGATTTTAATTTTGTCTGCAGCATGTATTTGGGTAATTTTCCTTCCCAAACCAGTAATAATTCTTGTCACAATTACCTGCTGTTTTAAGGTGAACTCCTGGTCCTCCTTTAATTTAAATCCCATGCTGAGTGATGTCCTTTCCTTTTTTTATCAGCTCAGTGGGAAATTGGGAAATTGGGGAGGTCAAAATGTTTTTACTGGGGCACCTGGGTGGCTCGCCTGGTGGATCTGGCCCTCCATGTGCCAGGGCTGGGTCCTTGCTGCAGGGGCCATGGGTTCAACCCTGACCTGTGGCCCTTTTGTTGCATGTCATCCCCTCTCTCTCTCTCTCTCTCTCTCTCTCTCTCTTTCTTCTTCTCTCTCCCCTTTCCTGTCACTCTACAGCTCTCACTACACACTTGTATTACAATATATCCAGTTACAAATAGACCCAAAGTAACAACATGGAGAATGTATTTTTGTTCAAAATGGTGTGAAAACTGGGAGCTTTGAAATGGCTAATCTGTATTCATTTTTAGCTTGCCATGTAACTGTTTGACTTCTCTCCATGTTAAGTGAATTCACACACTAATTATTTTGCTAACACCGGCTTTTGATGAACCCTGGACTGCCTCCATTCAACTCCTCAGATCTTCCCACACTTCTGTTCCCTTCAGAGACAGACAGAGCGGAAGAAACACACACGTACTCACAGACACACACATACAATTGTATCCTCTGTGTCACTATGTGGATCTAGTAGTGGATTAAGATCCAATCTCTGATCCATAGTAACATGACAAGACAGCACGCTGACTGAATTCTGTGCTGTCTGTGGGTGTGTGTGTCTGTTAGAGGTCCTGCTGGTATAAGAACCCACAAGTTTCCCACATTGCTGAAGCTTTGATTCACATTCACATTAACAAACGAGGCACCCTACTATTTACAACAGAAGCAGGACAGCTGTACTGGAATGATACAGTAGATGTAACTTTTTGGTCAGTTAATGCCCTGTTCAAATATTAAATTATATTCTTCATAACCATTGTTTCCTCATACCCCAAATCTGTTGTGATTCCAGGATTTAAGATATTATATTGGTATATTTATTGTATTTAGGAATAACATAATTAGGTTTTATTTGAGAGATGCAGGAGAACTTGGTTATGTCACATTGAACATTGAAGTTCGCCACAAACATATAAAACAATGCAGAAGAGCAATGAGCTAAATCCTGTAAAAATGATCTTAAATCAGTTGCTACTAGTATGTTAAATTTGGAGGGAAACTTTAATGGGCTTTAACAACACTGGGATCCACAATGGATCAGGGAAGCTTAATTTCCATTTTGTCAACGGTTATGTTTTTTGTGTTTTCATAAAAATCTGTATCTTAATGAGACCCTACTCTTTTAATTTCTTTGTCTTTACTATAATATTAAATAGGATATTGTGGCTTAAGAAATAAAAGCAAGAGATTGAGGGTGAGAATAGGTCTGTCTACTCAGACAGTCCTCTGAAATTAATGTTTTTCATCTTAGTGGTAAGATTATTCTAGATGGTTGGCTTACAGTGGAAATGAAGACAGCTTAAGTCCAGGTAGGAAGCAGTGAACTAGATTGAGATGTGTGAAGAAATAAATGTACACAATCTTTGTCTCTGTTTTACTTGTAAACTGTAAAGAGACATATATGGTATACAGTTCCTCACTTCAAAAACTGAAGAGAACTATTAGACCTTACACGAAAGCTCTGAGTGAGGGTTATGTTAATGCTATAACTAAGGGTTGTGACCCTTGTACTGCAGTGCTGTGCAAGTAGTGTTTGGGGGATTTGCCATGTACATCTTATGGATTTGAACAAATTAAACTAGTAATTCTGAAAGTCTGGAGAGAGAAGGAAGAAGTACACATATATTCCACTGTGCTGATTCCTGTAAAAACTCTCAATTAGAACTTGTTCATGCAGAGATGAACCCTCTCTTTAGGTTAGATGGTAAACGCTGGGTGCTATGTGATATCTAAATGGCCAGGTTTAACACTGGGACACTACAGGTCCCTTATTGAGTTACGCCCTGATAACAGCTGCCATGACCAACCCCCCAGTGGGTCCAGTGGCATTTAAAAGGTTTAAGGGCTGTTTTATGGGTTTTTTACTTGGCTCCTTCACTTTATTTTATTGTAAAGATGAATTTTTTACAATGTGTAGAAATTTGACAGGTATTGAACGTATTGTTTAACCAATGTTAAATTAATACCTGCGAACAAATTAAATAAAAATAATAATGCTTTGAATAACATGAATGTTAACAATTATTGCCAAAGGGTTAATAATTACACATTAACAACAAACACAATTCTAAAAAAGAAAAAAGAATTCAATTAATGAAGAAAACAGTCCCTAAGAATTACATTTCATAAAACTACTATTCATTAAATACAATACAATAAGTAGATGAATAAAAACAAGAAAATACTAGTTTGTTTGTGTTTGTGTGTTCCATATGTACAACAAGATGTTGATTTCTCACATTCAGTAATATTATTTTATATCTCTCCCTCACTTTGAGACATGCAGTCACATATTGTGCAGCTATGTTTACTGCATGTCCCTCTCCTAATATAATCTAACAATCTTTCATTGTCATTTAACTCTTTAAAGTTTGGAATTATTGAATTTAACTTATTAAAGTATTCCAATCTGATACTGTTATATTTTTCACATTTTATAATGTATTATTTTTATTTCTCTCTCCTGCTCTATCTCTGTCTCTACACACACTTGTTCCTGACTTTACTTTGTATCAGGTGTTGAGTTGAGTTTTAAGACTCTGTCCCCAGATGGCCTGCTGCTCTGTGCCTTCTCTCCAGGAAATCAGGAAGAGTTCCTGGCCATTCAGATAAAAAATGGACGCCCTTACTTTTTGTTTGACCCGCAGGTATGTAAAGTTTTAGTTTTTTTAGTTTTGTTTTACTGTTTTGAATGTGAGCATAAATAACTGATATTTCGAGACTGATATGCATAATAATATAAATCAATCATATGGCTGCGTAATGCAACCTCAAATAAGACCTTACAAAAGCTGATTGGAATCAGTTGTTTTCTCTATGTGTTTTACAAAAGTGCAACAAAGCTAACAGGCTAGTCAGGAAGATGTCAGCATCAACCAGAGTTTATTTAAAAAGGAGGGGATTCCATGTTATTATTATTATAATTATTATTATTATTATTATAATTATTATTTTATTTCAGTTTGGGTATTACTCTTTATATCTTTTCTTGTGGGACATTTTGTCTTCTTCCACTTATATGGAAACACCTAAATCTAGCTTTACTACCATCTGTAATTTACAGTAAGTGTACCTTTCTCTACAGTACCATATTTCACAGATGAATACGCCAATATTTTATTTATCCTTAATGGCCATTTAACCAATTTATTCACTCACATTCTCTCATTTGTTCAGTCTCTTATTGTATTACTTCATTCTACACACTTTACTTACTCGCTCACCTTCCTTCTCGTCTTTTTCTCCTTTTTCTTCTGATCCACCTCTGTCTTTCTCATTTTTTCTTCCCCTCTCTCTTTCTCTTTCTCTCTCTCTCTCTCTCTGTCTCTGTCTCTCTCCCATTTTCTCCCTCACTTGCTCTCATCTAATAAATGTGATCTGTAGCCCCTCATTGGTTTCTGTCAGGGAGACAGGGAGAGGGGAAAAAACTTTGAAAGTGTGTCAACGTTTGAATTGGACTGCAATTAACTCATTCCCTGCAGTCACCACGCGTGAATACCAATTGCAAGCTAATTAAGCTTTGCACCCTTGCACACACACACACACACACACACACACACACACACACACCCCCACACACACCACACACAC